ACAGGCATTTATCAGATAAGTTCTTGTACAGAGGATTGCTGGGTCACAGAGATAAGTGTTTGGGATATTAATAGCTGGTGACAAATTGTCTTCCAAGCTAATTTGCTAATTCACACTTCCTTATACATGGGACATGTGACTCATTAATCCTTACCAATATATCTGCTAATCCCAAAGGTAAAAATCATTGTATTTCATTACTATTTTATTTACATTTTATTGTGCCCGAAGTTGAGAATATTTTCATATGTTTAATACCCATTTGTTTAGTATCGTGTTTTTCCCTGGATTCTCTTATTTTGGTCCTTTGCCCATTTTCTGTTGCTTGGTTGCTCCTTTAAAAAATTGAACTAGAAAAGGTCGATGGATATTAAAGAAATGTTACTGTATTTATAAACACTTTGAAGATGTGAACTTTCTAACTTGAGCTTTAGGGGAGTTTGAAAAGCAATAAATAATCATCTCCTGTCTCCATAAACTGCTTTTTCAAGTAGGAAGACTTTGCATCTATCTCGTACTACAACCCTCACTGCTGTCTTCTGAGGTAGATTGCCTTATCCCCACTTAATGGATGAGGAAAGAGAATCTATGCTGGGAAAATTGTGAAAGACGTTTGAAATGGGCATATCAAAATTACCAGGAGCTCTATCTAGCACACTTTTTCAGGGTGTCTGTCTTTTAGCTATTTTTTTAACTTAAGTAGAAAACTGTTAGTAATGCAAATGATCCTTGTCAATGTAATGCAAATAAATCCTGTCTAGTGGAGGTGAAATTTATTATTTCCCTGTGGCTATTGACACTTTTTTAGTCTTTGTTTTTTTGTTTTTGGTGGTACTGGGGTTTAAACTCAGGGCCTCATGCTTGCTAGGCAGATGCTCTACCACTTGAGCCACTCTGCCAGCCCTTTATCTCTATTTCTAATTCATTTCAGCATTCCCTATTGCCTAGATGTGGAACTACTCTTTTGTCTGTTTGTGTATGTGTTTTGTTTTGCTATGTAGTCCAGACTGGACTGGAACTCAAGATTCTCCTGTCTCAGTCTCCTGAGTGCTGGGATTATAGATGTGAACCACCATACCTGTAACTGTGCTTTGACTATGAGTGTTCTTCTTTGAGCAGGTTACAGCTTCGTGAGCAGGTTTCACTCACTGATGAGTGAGTGAAATACAACTTTGGCACTTGCTCATTTTATATTTGTTTTAGTCTCTTTTTGTTACTATATCAGAAGACCACAGGGCTGGCAGAGTGGCTCAAGCAGTAAAAGGACCTCCCTAGCAAGCATGAGGTCCTGAGTTCAAACCCCAGTGCTGCTAAAAAAGAAAAGAACATATGCTGGGTAATTTCTAATGTACAGACATTTATCACCTCATGATTCTGAAGGCTGGGAAGTCCAAGATCCAGGGGCTGGCATCTAGAGAGGCCTCCTTGTTGTTCCATACCATGGTGGAAGGGCAAGGAGGCAAACAGGTGGGTGGGAGGAGAGAGAGATAGATAGATAGAGAGAGAGAGAGAGAGAGAGAGAGAGAGAGACAGTGAGACCGAGGGGCTAGTTTTGAACCCACTTCCATGATAATAATGTTGATTTGTACATGAGGGCAGCATGTCTATGGCCTAATCCCCTCTTAAAAGCCCTCCCTCTTGATGGAGGTGTGGCTCAAGTGATAGAGCATCTGTCTAGCAAGTGCAAAGCTGAGTTCAATCCCCAGTACTGCCAAAAGAAAAATTCTACCACATAACACCATGCAAATGACAATTATGTTTCCTATACATATTTTTTTTAGGGACTCATTGAAACCATAGCAGTATTTATTTGATTTCACTTTAGAAAAAGTTACCTTGATCTTCTAAATCTCTGGTTCTCACAACTAGAATATGAACCTATCAGGTAAATCTGACAGGAAGGGATTCTCCAGGATTATTAATTGAAGCCTCAGAGCTCTTTGAAATGCTAATGAAAGTCATAAACCCTTTCCCTGGGAAAGATAAACATAGACACATAATTTTGCACTCTCTCTTGAGAGCCCCTGGGTTTCCCAGAAACTGGGTTTAAGAACTCCTGGGACAGAGTGGCTGCTCCAGATAAGTAAAAGAGGTAGAAGATGGACTTGGGAAATGGTTTGGTTCTTAACAGATGTTGAGTGCTTGCCATGAGCCAACTGTGCTAACTTATGTACCCTAAAATGGGAGATGCTGTTGTTATCAAGGGAAGAGGTAGATGGGGGGCGGGGAACCTGTTACTTGCCCAAAGTCACATAGCTGGTGAGAGTTCGAAAGTAGTTCCTTTACCCCATGGATACAAGTTCTAGGGGGAAAAAAATCCCTAGGGAGGAAGAAATGGCCCCTACTGTCTATTGGTCTACTGCAATAGCGAAGTTGAGACTCTTATGGTTGGCAAATCCCATTTCCAGAAGAGCCTGGAGGTAGAAGGGTATTAGGGAGGGGATGGGGACCCCAGCCCAGACGTGACCTGTTCTTCCATTCCAGTCGGGAGCTTGGAGATCTGCCATATCATCCATGCTACTCTTACCAGGGCCTGAGGAATGGCCTGAGAGCTGTAGAGTGAGACCTGCTGCCTGGATTCCCTGGCCCCAGGTCCCAGGTTTGTGTGGAGGGATGGAGGTGGGGGAGAGGAGCTTTTGGATTTAGCTCTGCTCCTGAGAGAGGAACTGGGAAGGCCTCACAACTGGGGCAGGGAGGCTACAGCAGTGGGGCAGAGTGGCCCCCCAGTAGGGGACTGAGTGAGGAACTGCATGGTCAGAGGGAGTCAGAGGTCACACCAGGCAGGGCATGTGGTTCTCATCAAAGGTAGATGAGACTTGCCTTAGTGGATGCCAATGGGGGACTGAGATGGATACAGTCTGAGAAGTGGGCCTCCCCTCCCTCCAGACATGTGGTGGCATTTACAAAATCATTTCCCCACCTGCCACCACCAGCAGAACAAAGACCCCTGTGGGAAGGAGCAGAACAGAGGGGGACAATCTCAAATGTGACCGGATTTAAAAATGAAGGGTCTGAAGAATCAGTGATGGAGAAGCTGCTAGAATAAATTTCTTGCCAACAACATAGAAAGTAAATCTAGAGTAATATTCTGCATGTTGGAGTTTAGGAGCACGAGATGGGTACCTGTGCCATGATCTGTGTCTTAAATGTCTCCAAAGGGCCATGTGTTGAAGGTTTGGTTGCCAGGCCTGTGGTGTTATTGGGAGGTGGAGGAAAATTATGGGAAAGTTAGGTCACTGGGGGCATGCCCTTGAGGCTCCTGTCCCTTCCTGTCTCTTTTTTTCCTCCCTGGCTGCCGTGAGTTGAACAGGCCCCCTTCACCTCACACTCCCACTACCTGGTGCTGCCACAGGCCCAAAGCAACAGGGCCAAGTAACCATGAACTGAAACCTCTGAAAGCGTGAGCCAAAATAAACCTTTTCTCCTTATAAGTTGTTTGTCTCAGGTATTTTGTCAGTGATGCAAAAATGACTGACATACCCTGTTACCCAAATTGTGAGCTACTGGCCTGTGTTGCTAAGTGGCTCTTTCCTCCCTCAGCCTATCCTTCCCCTTTGAAGTCTAGGTGTCAATCACAACACTCAAGGACTCTGAGAGATGTTGGAGGAACTGATCCATGCCTTGCGAGCTGTGGATTGTGGTTCTGGCATATTCCATGCCTGAAGGCTGAACTGGCATTGCTGCCTCCAATGGGAAACTGAGGTTAAATGGCAATGCCACACAGCAAATCAGAGAGCATGCAGAACTAAGACCTAGGCTTCATAACTTCTGGTCCAGCTCTGGGGTGGGTTAGGGACCTTTGGCAGGTTGCAGAGGTTCTGGGGTCTGAAGAAGACTCCTGGCACTTGTGCTGGACTGGTATATGGAGGTCAGCCCCAGCTGCCCAGCTGAGGGGAGCTGGCCCTGTCCTCCCATGGGCTTCAGAGACTCTCATCAGAAGGCAAGCCCAGTGGGCAGAAGTTGCTCCTCCTGGGGCTGGGACAAGCAGACACTGTCCCAGGGGAAGCTGGGAACAACAGTGGGCCCACTCCTCGTGGTTTGCAGGACACTTTCATCTCCTTGTTGCTCTGTGAAGCAGGCCACGTGGGAGCCACTGCCTTCATTTACAGGTAGGAAAACTAAGGCTCAGGCAGGGCATGTGGTTTGCCTAGAGTTTCCTTGTGGGGAGTCACAAGGAAAGAGAGTCGCATGAACTCTCAGGCTTTCCAGGACAGAGTGAGGCTGGCCTTCCTGCTGGGCCCTTTGCACATGTCCAGAAGACATACCACTAATAACACCATTCCTCCCCAACCCAGAATAACCAGGCAGTAAACTCTATTTTAAATTAAAAAACTTTTCCTCTATTTCTCTCCTACCCTGGGACTTTTACATCAAAGTCATGAAGAATGTGTTAACATGACCAAGTGCAGGGTCACTGAGTCTTGCTTACAGAGGAAGGTCCACACTGCCCTTCAACCAATCTGGACAGAACTGGAGTTGTTTGTCTCCACATCCAGTTCCACAGCTAGAGTGCTCAGTAGGTGCTCAATAAATGCCTGGATGAATACATGAGCATACAACCCCTCCATGGCATCTTCTTGGCCTCAATGCTCCCCATGGCTCACCTACCAAAGTAAGGGATAGGTGTCCCCAGAAATCATACATGCTTAGTATTACAAGTGAGATCCAGAAAGGGCAAGTGACCAGCTGAAGGTTGCATATCAAGCTATAGGAAGCACAGGTGCGAGAGGCCAGCTTGCTGTTCTGGAGCTCATCCTGAGCTGTCATACAGCCAGTCTCCTGGGCCAGGAGGGCCACTTCAGCTGGAGACACAGAGATGTCCTTTTCTGTTTACCCTGCAGCTGTGGCCAGTGCAGCCTTCCAATGTCTGTTCAGGGCAGTTTCCTGGGCTGTAGGCCATTGCTGGATCGAGAGTGATTTTCCTTGAGGCCCTGGGAACCATCTGCCACCTGTTGTTGCTGGGAGGAGAGCAGCTCTCTTTGGGAGAGGATGTCCGGTTCCTATGTTGAAGTGGCACAGATGCTGCCCCACTTGGGGTGTGGAGGTGGCAGGACACAGAGGGCAGGGATGCAGGTCTGCTGGACATGAAGGCCTGGGAGGGGCTGCAGCTCCCATGGGTGCTGGGGGATGAGGGTGATCTGGGCAGGGAACCAGGCAGAGGTTGTCTGATTCTGAGCCCGTGGGTAACATACAGTGGGAGGAGCCAGCCTGTGCAGAGCAGTGGGTGTCAGCACGGGGCCCTGTCATGGGGAGACATCAGGAAGAGAGGTAAGTCCCATGCTTTACCCTGGACCCTCCCTGTAGCTTCCCAGCTGTCCCCATGGCCCAGGCAGCTCAGGGTGGGCAATGTGACTGTCTTGTCCTGTTTGTCCAGGACTTTCTGGGTTTGCCACTGATTGGTCTGTGTGGGCCTATGCAAACCTTGACAGGTAGTTGCTTAGGAAGTGCATGACTTAGGCTGGTAAACCTAGACCTGATTCTGGCATTTATAGCAATTGTTTCTCCAAAAAGTCACTTTGCTTCTCAGAGCCCTCTTTCTGCAGCAGCAAAAATTTAGTAAATGAGAAATCCCATCCCAGAGTCTCGTATGGTGTATAAAACCCTGTGACCCTAGGGAAGGGCAGAATTGTCTGTTTTGTTCACAGCTCTACCCTCCCTGTTTGGTGCCTGGTGCACATCCAAGACTTGTGTGGGTTCCATGACAGCTAATATTTAGGAAGTGCTTCCTAGGTGGCAAGGGTTATCCATGGTTCAGTCATTTCATCCTTGTCTAAACTGTAGTACTGTCCTCTAGGGACAAAGTGACTTTTCTGGGCCTCACCCATGGGTAAAGGTTGAGCTGGGATTTGAACCCCGGCAGTCTGACTCAGGAGCCAATAGCCCAACCTCCATGCTCTGTGCTTTACTTGATGACCCTGTTTGAAGTTTTGTACAAGTCACACAGACCACTCCCAGGAGGAAGAAGAGGCAATATAATCAATAGGGATGTCCTCAGGATGAGGACAGGGGATAGAGAGCCAGCCACTTGCTTCAGGTCCTTGTCTTTCAGACTCCTTGCTCATACTGTTTCTAGGATTTCCCTTGCACTCAGTACTGTAGACACAGTTCCAGGTTCTGGAACTGGCATGCTCCTAGATGATGGTCCCTCTAGCCCTCCTTGATGACCGGACCACTTACAGCCACATCCAGACTCGTGAACAGAGCCAAGTTGGACTCGCCTAGCTGCTGTGGGGTGCCAAGACTGCCAGTCTTCTCCTGCTTCCGCCACTTGGCTCGCTGATTCTGGAACCAGATCTGTGGTTAGGGAAAAAGGATGGAGACACGTAAAAGAAGTTTTCTCCAGCTAGTACCTCCCTTTCCCCAAAAGCACAACAGGGACATCTCCTAAGGAATGGGTACTTTACAGTTTATAAAGCTACATAGGTGCAAAATTTCTTTGGATCTGGACGCCAGCCTTCTGAGAGGGCGTCCAGGGTCACAACATTCAGTGTCTACATGGCCAGGAGGACCAGGCACAAGTGATAATTGGAAAGGCAGGGTCTGTGGGGAGCAAAGCCTAAAGAGGGCAGCTTCTTGGCTCCTGCCAATAGTCACCACCTGGAAATGTGAGCCAGTGTTTTGGACTTATCCAATTTCCAGTGTGGAAATCTTGATTTATATGTGAATGCTTCCAAGTTTTAAAATACTGTGCAGACCAAATAAAACCCTTTGAACACTGGCAGTTCCCTGCATTCGTGAGTACCCTGATAGTCCCTGACACGTGGCCACTTGCACTCAGTAATTCTGCTGAGGCAGGTGTTGAATTCTAGGCTTTACTGTGGACACAGGTGCTAAACACTCATCTGGTGCAGGTTTCCAAATGGGACGAAAAGGGGAGATGTCTGAGACAGGGCTGGGCTTTAGCCAGAAGGAAAGGAGGCTGGGATAAAATAAAGAGGGAACTGTTGACCTGGGCCTGAGTTTAAATTTTTGAATTAGAATAAGTCCATTGTATTTAGTTATTTATTTACTTTAAAAGAAGAATGATGTAGAAAACTATTTTAGAAAGAGTGCCAAGAGTGCTGTGGTTGGGTCTGGTAGAACTTCCCGTGCCAGTTTGGCACTTGCAAAATTGAGCATGTGTGAGGACAGCAGGGTGTGTCCTTGGTGGAGACAAGAAACTGCTGTATTTCTGACCATGTATGGAGCAGTGGGCACTCAGGTGAAGAGATTACAGGTGGTAAATTAGGCTATTGGTCCTCAAACCAGGCTCTGTCCTTGGACCAGGGTCTGTCCATCTCTCTGCTTCCTCCAAAGGGACATCTATGTGGTCTACATTGAAGTTGGCTGCTACCAACCTATGGCTAAATCAAAGCAATAATGATAAAAACAGCATGGTACTGGCACAAAAACAGACATGAAGACCAGTGGAACAGAATAGAGGATCCAGATATGAAGCCACACAA